CTCAGCCTCCATGTTATAAGGAGGCTCCGGCCATGTGAAGAGGCTTTGTGCAGGTGCTCTAGCTGACAGCCCCGAGAAAGAACCAAGCACTAGCCAGCAGCGCTTCTGTACTTGTGAGGGAACGAGTCTTCAGATTCATTCCTGCCCCCCTGCCTTGTAGCTGCTTCCTCTTAACCCAAGTGGATCTGAAACGAGACTTGTCCCATGAAGTTGTGCCCAAATTGCAGATTTGTGAGCAAAGTAAACGTATTTGTTTGGAGCCACCAGGTTTGGGGATGGTCTGTTACATAGCGATCACTGAAAAAGAAGTCTTAAAGAGTAGGGCGCCTGGGGGGCTCAGTCGGTTAGGCATCCGACTTTGGCTCAGGTCATGATCTCACAGTTTGTGGGTTTGAGCCCCGCGTCGGGCTCTGTGCTGACAGCTCAGAGCCTGGAGCTGCTTCAGATTCTGTGTCTCCCTCTCTCTCTGACCCTGCTCATGTTCTCACTCTCTCTCTCTCTCTCTCTCTCTCAGAAATAAAACATTAAAAAAAATTTTTTTTTTAAAAAAGGTCTTAAAGTTAAAACACATTTGATGTCCCTACGAAATGCAGAACCTCCTAGAGCCGCCCCAGAGGAAAGTTAGCAAAAGGAACAAGCTCACCAGAGGTCAAGGTGAAGCACTTTCAGCTGCTCTGCAGTGAAAATATCCACCCTCCGATACTTCTTCATTTTAAACAGAACATTTGTTTTCTGATTATAACAGTTTTTATACTTGCGGTAGAAAATTCAGAAAAAAAGAGAATTAACAGAGAATGAAAACGATCTGACTTCTAGCATTTACAGCTTCATAATTTGGTCCCTTTCCCTTTACTCTTTTTATATAGAAATTTCTTCTACAGGGACACCTGGGTGGCTCAGTGGGTTAAGTATCCAACTTCGGCTCAGGTCATCATCTAACGGTTTGTGAGTTCAAGCCCCGCATCGGGCTGTCTGCTGTCAGCATAGAGCCCATTCTGGATCATCTGTCCACCCCCCCCCCCCCCCCCCCCCCCCCCGCCCCTTACCTGTAGGTCTATGTCAAGATAAATGAATAAACTTGGGGAAAAAAAGAAATTTATTTTACAAGACATGTGTCATATTTGCACGGTAATACTGATATTGACCCACCATTCATCAGTCATGTTTTGAGTTTTTCAGGCACCCAGCTGGACCCTGGAGAAGGAAAATGGAGGGCAGGGCTTTTATAGCAAAGGCAGTGGCTGTGATTCACCTTGGGTCACTAGTAAGATACTCAGACTTCATTCTTAGGGGTGGCTGGGTGTTGCCTGGTGAGTATCATGGGTATCTGGCTCTTTGCTGCCGGGGGCGGGCATGGCTTCGAGGAGGTCCATCCTCTACCACTACCTCGGTGGCAAGGAAGCTTGGGGGAGGTGTGGGGGGCACAACCCCCAAACTCTGTCCCTTGCAAGTGATATGCCTTTTGAGTAGCCCCAGCTGACAGCTGGTATTCCACACGCACACTATGCAAAAGTACTTCCTTAGAGACCAAACTGTCTAGAGAATAAATCTCACGTTCAGTGTTCTTACCAAGAAACTCCCCAAAACAAAATCCAAGGGGACAAAAGGAAATTTTTGGAGGTGATGGATATGTTTATTACCAAGGATGAAGTTGAGTTGTATTCAAAATCCACTCTCAGGAACACAAGAATTTTCAATGTTATGTCCTATTCACAAGTAAAAGAAAAGGCAAAGCTATTAGGGTTTTTGTTTAAGATTTTATTATGATTTTTAAATTTTATTTATTTGTTTTTTTAGTAATCTCTACACTCAACATGGGGCTCAAACTCATGGCCCTGAGATCAGGAGTCCAGCGTTTCACAGACTGAGCCAGCCAGATGCCCCAAAGCTATTAGATTCTTTAAATTTAATGTGAACGGTGGTAAATTTTAGCATGTAAAACAACTGTTTACATTTACTATTACCTACTCATGCAAAGTTTCTTGTTGATGGAGCATATTAGGAATTTTAAATCCTTTTTTGGGATGTGTATGAAGTATGTCACATACAAAGTGCTCAAAACAGAAGTGATAAGAGAGAGAAGGCAGTCACCACCATCAGGTCAGGAAGAGTAGCATCCTGTGACATATTTAAAGGGTCTATCAATTGTCATTTCAAGCATAAAATCTGATGTAAAAAAGGCTGCTTTTGCAGGACCAGATAAAAGTATTTAGTAGGGATGTTAAAAGATTTTACTTTCGGGGCGCCTGGGTGGCTTAGTCGGTTGAGCGTCCGACTTTCGCTTAGGCCGTGATCCCGCGGTTCGTGGGTTCGAGCCCCGCGTCGGGCTCTGTGCTGACTGCCAGCTCAGAGCCTGGAGCCTGTTTCAGTCTGTGACTCCCTCTCTCTCTGACCCTCCCCTGCTCATGCTGTCTCTCTCCTAGAAATAAATAAAACATTTTAAAAAAAATTAAAAAAAAAAGATTTTACATTCTTTTATTTTTTAAATGTTTATTTTTGAGGGGGAGGGGAGAGAGAGAGACAGGGTGTGATTGGGGGAGGTGCAGAGAGAGAGGGAGATACAGAATCTGAAGCAGGCTCCAGACTCTGAACTGTCAGCACAGAGCCCGACGCGGGGCTCAAACTCCTAAACTGTGAGATCATGACCTGAGCCAAAGTTGGCTGCTTAACCACCTGAGCCACCCAGGCGCCCCTAAAAGATTTTATTTGAGGGCACCTAGGTGGCTCAGTTGGAGAAGCACTGACTCTTGATTTCGGCTCAGGACATAACCTCACAGTTTGTGGGTTTGGGCCCCATATCAGGCTCTCTGCTGTCAGCGCAGAACTCGCTTCGGATTCTCTGTCTCCCTCTCTCCCTGCCCCTCCCCTGATCATTCTCTTTCTCTCTCTCTCTTCCTCCCCTTGTCTCAAAAATAAACATTTTTTAAAATTTTGAAAGATTTTGATACCTTTCTTTAAAAACTTAGTATTTCCCTAATACCTTTTTGTTTTAAATAACTTTATTAAAATTTTTATTTTTATTTTATTGAAAAAAATTTTAATGTTTTATTTATTTCTGAGAGAGAGAGAGAGACAGTGTGAGCAGGGGAGGGTCAGAGAGAGAGGGAGACACAGAATCCGAAACAGGCTCCAGGCTCTGAGCTGGCTGTCAGCACAGAGCCCGACACAGAGCTTGAACCCACAAACCGTGTGATCATGACCTGAGCCGAAGTCTGATGCTTAACTGACTGGGCCACCCAGGCACCCCACTAATTTATAAAAATTTAAACATTTTACTTAAATCCAAGTTAGTTAACGTATACTGTAATAATGATTCCAGGAGTAGAATTTGGTGATTCATCACTTACATATAACACCAGTGTTCATGCCAACAAGTGCCCTCCTTAATGCCCATCCCCCACCCAACACCCCTCCAGCAACCCTCAGTTTGTATTCTGTATTTCTTTTTCTTTCTTTCTTTCTTTCTTTCTTTCTTTCTTTCTTTCTTTCTTTCTTTCTTTCTTTCAGATTTTTATTTATTTATTTGAGAGAAAGAGAGAGAAAACAAGCAGGGGAGGATCAGAGCGGGGGGGTGGGTGGGATGACAGAGGATCTGAAGCAGGCTCTGTGCTAACAGCAGAGAGCCCGTCGCCTAGCTCCAACTCAGAACTGTGAGATCATGACCTAGCTGAAAATCACACGCATGGTTAACCGACTGAGCCACCCAGGCATCCCTATTCTTTGTATTTATAAATAAATTTTTAAAAAGATTTTATTTGTAGAGGTGCCTGAGTGGTTCAGTCAGTTAGGCATCAGATTCTTTTTTTTTTTTTTTAACATTTATTTCAGGCATCTGATTCGTGATTTTTGCACTGACAGCACAAAGCCTGCTTGGCATTCTCTCTCTGTCCCTGCCCTGCTTGGGTGCGCTCTCTCTCTCTCTCTCTCTCTCAAAACAAAATAAACTTAAAAATATGTATTTCATTTGTAAGTAATCGCTACACCCAACGTGGGGCTCGAACTCACAACCCTAAGATCAAGAGTTGCATGCCCCACCAACCAGGCCAGCTAGGTGCCCCCAAATTGCCTTCTATAGATGCCCCCAGTCCCTGGCGAGACCTGTTTGCCCAACACACACACACACACACACACACACTCAAAAGCTGGTGCTCGGTCTCAGGCCCCAAGGCTCAGCCCGGGTCACAGACTCGCCCAAGGTCAGCAGCCCCCTAGGTGGTCAGAGCAGAGTGAGCCCAGGCCGAGGCGGGACCAGTGTTTACAACGGTTGGCTGATGTAACTAACAGCCATCTGCATCAGCCTTCCTTAGGGAGAAAGACGAGTTCACTTGTTTTACTCTCTTGTTATTAAAAATGCTAATTTATTTATTTATTCTTGAGCTCCTTTTTCTTTTCTTTCTTGTGTGTTTCACAGTAAAAGCCAGAGCCCCTGAAGCCACGCTGGGGTCTTACCTCCAGTGGAGCCACGAGTTTTGTCTCCTTTGCTTACTCTCTTTTCTGCTTATTTGTGTTTATTTTTAGTACGTTTTGGCAACATTTACTTTGAACGAATGTTAGAAACGCTGCCCCCCACTCCCTGCGGGCGCCTCCCACTGCCAGACCTCGCGACCACCGGGTGCCTCTTCCAGCCACGGGGGCGCGTGGGTGTCACCTGAGGGCGCTCGGTTTTTCCCACCCCCAACCTGTCCTGGGGCGCGAGCCCCTCCAGTCGGGGTGTTTCTGTGCAACGAGAAAGGAACCGCCCGAACGGTCGGGAAACTTTCCCGCTGCCGTTTCCCCGGGGACCGCAGGGTCCCCTGTCTCCCTCCGAGCGGGCTCGGGCGTCAAGGTCGGAGGTGATCGGGGCGTCCGCTCCGTGTCCTGGGGAGGGGCCAGCCTCCCGTCCCGAGCCCCGGGGAGGGGGCAGCGGGCGGGCGTCCCCTGGAAGCAGAGACACCTGCGGCCTCCGGGCGGGCGGTCCCGGGGCCCCGGCGCCTCCTTTAAAGCCGCGGCTCCGCCCCGCCCGCCCGCCTTTCCAGCCCGCGGTTCCACCCAACCGCCGGATTCCGGCCGCCCGGGCAGAGCGTCGCAGAGCCGCGAGCCCCCGAGCCGGCCGCCCAGTCCCCTCGTCGGGTTCCGCGTCCCCGGGTGCCCGGATCCGCCGCCATGGCCAGCCAGGAGCTGGCGCTCAAGCTGCAACGGCGGCTGCAGTGGGAGGAGGGGGCGGAGGGCGGCCTCCAGCCCGCGCCCCACGCAGCGCCGGCGCCCGCGCACGAGGTCCCCGGCCGGGCGCCCACCGCCTGCGCCGACGCCGAGCTGAGCGCGCAGCTGAACCGACGGCTGGACATCAACGAGGGCACGGCGCGGCCCCGCCGCTGCAAGGTCTTCAACCCCTACACCGAGTTCCCGGAGTTCAGCCGCCGCCTCATCAGGGACCTGGAGAGCATGTTCAAAAAGTGAGCGCCGCGCGCCGCCCTGCGCTTTGCGCCTCCGAGGACCTTGCGCTGGGGACCCGAGAGGCGGGTGCGGGGTAGGGAGGAGGTGGTGGTGAGCGGGTTTCCCGGCCCTGCTTGGTGGGACAAGGCGGGATAGTTTAGGAGTTCCGGGGGTGCCCTTAGCGTCTAACCCGCGCCCCCAGGCCCTGCGCGCCCCGAATCCGTGCCACGGCGTGCCAGGGCCGTGGCCGCAGCTCTGCCCGACCGAGCTCAGAGGTTCCCCGGGGCAGCCGAGCCGGAGTCCCACGCTCCCGGGTCCCGGCCACGGCTCCCGCCTCTGCGCCGCGGCTGCAAGATTTGCCCGCAGCGCAACTTCTAGGAAACAGAGTCGCGCAGCGCCTCACCTGCCAGCTTTAACTTTATCTCCCAAGGGAGAAACTAGCCCCGTTGTCCTTTTATCTGTTAAAACAAAAGAAGAAAGTTATCCTTGGCTGCCGCTCGGGGGCTGAAGTACCCACAGAGGCTGAGAACTGAGAGTTTCAGGACGTTCCTGGAGCGCGCGTATCTTGGGAGCCTCCTGGGGGCGTCGCCTTATCTGTTTGGGGCAGAAGGCGCCCGTCGGAACCGGACGTGGCAGGTGGCAGCCGATCGGACTGGGGCTCGCTCCTGTCCTGCTGTGAACGCCCCGCGCGGCCGGGGAGCTGCTGGCGCGCCCCAACACCGGGCCATAGAGAGCCCCCTCTGGTTGTCTTTGTATTATTGGAGTTCCCTGGACCTCAGTTTCCTCATCTGTAGAGAGAGGGCAGCGATCGTCTCAGCCTTTTAAGGCCAGATTTTGCACACCATAAGCTCCTAACCAAGCTATTAATATTATTTCCAGAATTGGGCCGAGACCGGAAAAATGCTTGAGGGAGCGAAGGCCTCCGGCCAGGTCATACTTAGGGCGTTTTTAAAAGCGCTTGGAATGTGTTTGTCCTCCGCATGAAGGTTCTATTTAAAGGCTCTGTGGCTGGCACTGTGTGGCCAGAGCCTTGCCCCCTTCCTGAGGCTGGGCTGTTGTCCAGCCTCCGCCTCTGCGTGGAGGTCAGTGGAGGCTGGAGACTCCCTGCCTCCTGTGCTCCCCTGACACCCCGATTTCCCGCCCCCGGCTTGCAGGCACTGTTCTCTGGGGTTCACACGTGCTGGGTGTAGTTTGGGGAATTAAGGAAGACTGAGTTGGGGGGGAGGGGAAGCATTTGGAGTGGTGATGGAAAGACAATGGGTAATTGGTTTGTCAGAGCTCCTTTGATTTATTTCGGGCTATGCTCTGGCTCTGTCACTGCCATGTCCCAGCGGTTTCTAGTAGTCCAGTTGGATTGGAGGGGGGCCGTCTTGGGGACCTCCTTCTTCAGTTTGCTTTGAGGTAACTTGGGTTTCTTTTATTTATTCTTTTTTTTTTTTTTTCCTCTACAGAACAATCTTTGCAAGGTTAAGTTTGTTGGCTACCTACGTGTTATAAAGGGAGTCCACACAGGGTCTTGGGGGAACAAGCAAGGTGGCATGCGTGAGGAAGCAGGCTCTGGAACAGGGTCAAGCTCAAGGGAAGGCAGCCTGTGGTCCAGGGTCCCAAGAGAGCTGGCCGTCTAGCCTTTGCACGGTGTCACACGGTGGTTCTCCAGAGCTGCGGTGTCGGTCAGAATTCTAGGTTGGGTTTTCTGTCACTTTCACCCAAAAGTGGCATACAAAAAAAAAAAAGAGAGAGATTAATTGGCTCAGCATCGGTGTCAGGTATGGCTGGACCCAGGCGCTCAGATGATACTATCAGTGCTTAGTTTCTCTCTTTCTTAAGCCAGCTTCCTCTCTGTGTTGTCCCCCTTCTCAGTGGCTTATCCCTGTGGTGGCAGTCTGACCACAGCAGCGCCAGTCCAGCGGGACAGAGTAACCGCAGCAAAGGCCTTATTGTCTCTTTCTCTCTTTAGCTTTACTATTGTTTCTTACTGGCTCTGAACCAATTGCCGTGGCCAGGGGACTAGGTTGCTCTGATTGGCCAGGCCTCAGCCACGTGCCCCACCCCTGCAGGGAGGAGTACAGACTTGGCCGTGGGGAAGAATGGCTTTCACAGGCAAATCTGGGGGCTCTTGCAGAGGAAGGAGGGTCAAATGCTGGCGGCTTATGAATGATCTTCCTGGGTCATCCTGGACCTGGATCATGGGCGCGCTCAGGGCTGCTGCTTTGTGTACCTTCAGCCACGAGTGCCATGGCTGGACTGCCTGGCTCCTGTCAGCAGGGAGTGGGACCCGAGGCCCGAGCTGCTGCAGAGACGCCTTCCTGGGAATCATCCCTATATGTCCCAGAAGGCGAGAGAGGCAGAGCTGCCCCTCCGGTTCGAGTGAGCTGAGCAGTACCTGGAGACCCCAGCACAGCGGGAGGGATCGGTGTCACCTCTGGATTCCCATAGGTGTAGAGCTGATAGGGCCTAGGACCTGTGACCCTGAACAAGTTACACCATCCCTCTAAGCTTTGGTTTTCTTGCTGGTTCCCCTGAGGGCCAGGCAGCTGCTGTGGCCACCCGGGCAGGGCCCCCTGGGAAATGCTGCCTTGCTTTCCCCACTGTGTTTGGAAAGGCCCTCCTAAACCGGATGTTGGGACTCAATTATGCATCATGAGTGTGGGGAGGGTGGGGACACAGCCCCCTTATTCCAGGGTCAATTGCTGTGACTGTGACCATGGACAAGTTGCTTAACCACTTCTGGCCTTTCATCTATAGGATGGAGGCGAATTGTTCCTTTCAAGGGGGTTTGTGAGAACCTGGCGAGCCCACTTTGGCTCCAGCCCTGTGTCTGCGTGCCCTGCCCCACTTTCGGGCTCCCTGCCCCCACAGAAACAGGGATGGCAGGACCCCAGTGCCGGGCTCCCACAAACTCAGCACCCTTCCTTTGAGCTCGGCAGTTTACCCTCAGAGTGCGTCTGCCCAATTTCCCTGGCTGTCCCCCACCCCACTGGGGTCAGCGGCTCCCAGGCTGGGAGATGTGTTACCTGGACACTTCTGACTCGGCTCAGCAGGCAGCAGTGACCTTAGGTGATGGACAAACCCCTCCTCCCGTGAAGGGGCCCTGCTGTGCCTTAGGGGCCTTCCTGCCCTCCTGCTGCCTCAAGGTCCCTCCGGATGGCCACCTGGCCTTGGGACCTGCCTGAGCCCATCTGCCCAAGGGGCCACCTCCACCCAGGAAGGCTGCTATTGGGCTGGCCATTCAGGGATTTGCCACCTGCCCGGGCCTGGCCCTGCTGCTGGCTGTCTGCCGCCTGCGGAGTAGCTCCTTGATCCCAGCCTTGCCCACAGCACAGCCCTTGATTCCCCGGGTTTCTCTTTCCTGTTTTCTTCTTCCTGTTGTCCTTCACAACTTAAAAAAAACAAAAACAACGAATTTTAAAGTACATGCGGATAGGTCCTCTTCAAAACCTGATTGTTCACTCCATCATTGACCCCTATCATCAGCTGCCTTGGCCACTCACCGAGGGCCTCCCGGGCTCCTATGCTGCCCGGAAGAGCCCTGCACCTGCCGACCCCTCCCTGACCCTCTTCCCTGCCCTGCGACAGAGTCACCTGCCACAGCACGGGTCCAGCCAGCACTGATTGATTGATACCGTACCTCTGTCCCCACTTGAAGTGTGGCCTCTTCCTCCCTTTTTCTTTTTCCCTTTGCTTTTCTACGCATAAATTAGAGCGTAAGCATGTTAAAAATGCCTAAGCACATGTCACGCACCAACTTCTTTCCCATCGCCTGCTTTCCCGACCTGACCCACCGCAGAAGCAGGGTTGAGGCTGTGAAGAGCATGAATGTGGAGCCAGGCTTCCTGGGTTCAGACCCTGACTCTTTCTCTTGCTACCTGGAAGGTTACTTTGGGCAGGTTACTGAAAAGTGTCGTACCTCGGTTTCCCTTTCTGTCAAACGAGGATAGAACAGTCCCTGCCTTGTGGGGTTGTCGTGGGGATTAAATAAGCTAATGTGCGTGAAGCAATTAGCTCGGCGCAGGGCCCACGGTGAGGACCAGGGAGATTTGCAGCCCTCATTTGCAGATGCTCACACAGCTGTAATTATGGTGGATGCACATGTTTTGTGGCATCCTTTTTTGTTCAGTAACTTAAAAGCTCTTTGCAGTGTCTGATTTACCCTTTTTAAAGTTGATTTCTTCCGCAGTTTGAGCTGCAGGGTGGCGCCCTGGCCGCCTGGTGAGTAACTGGTCCCCCTGGGACTGTGCCCTGCCTTCCTGCCCTTCCAGGCTGTCGATGGGGGTCACTCGCTCCACTGCTGGACGAGTGGATGAGTGTCCTCCGGCTGCTGTGACAAAATGCCACAAAGGCGGTGGCTCTAAACAGCATGAAGATATTCTCTTACCCTTCTGGGGGTGGGAACTGGAACCCAAGGTACTGGCAGGGCTGTGCGAGGCCACGGAAGCTTTAGGGAAGAATCCTTTCACGCCTCTTGTAGGTAGCTTCTCGCGCTCACCGGCAGTGCTTGGCGTAACCTTGGCTATAGACCCGTCGCTCCCATCTCTGCCTTGTTCTGTCAAGTGTTCCTTAAAAACAAATTTTTTTAAGTTTATTTATGTATTTAGAGAGCGTAGGGGAGGGGCTGAGAGTGAGGGAGAGAAAGAAAGAATCCCAAGCAGGCTCTGCATTATCAGTGCAGAGCCCGATGCAGGGCTCGAACCCATGAACCATGAATTCATGATGTGAATAGAAGTTGGATGCTTGACCGACTGAGCTACCTGGGCGCCTCAAGTGTTCCTTTTTTTTTTGGTTTGTTTTAATTTTTTTAATGCCTATTATTTTTTTATTAAACTTTTTTTTTTTTAACATTTCTTTATTTTTGAGAGACAGAGGCAGAGCATGACAGAGCACAAGTTGGGGAGGGGCAGAAAGAGAGAGGGAGACACAGAATCCGAAGCAGGCTCCAGGCTCTGAGCTGTCAGCACAGGGACCGACGCAGGACTCGAACCCATGAACCGTGAGATCATGTCTTGAGCAGAAGTCTTACACT